TATATATATTTGTTTTTTTGGTGAAACAGAGGATTGAACTCAGGCCCTTGTGCTTGCCAGGGAAGTGCTTATTCCACTGAGCCATCTCCCCAGCCCCTATATGTTAACATATTTCTGAAAGATGTTTGTTGCTGAAATATTTGTTACAATAGAAAGAGAGAGAGACAGAGACAGAGAGATAGACAGAGACAGAGAGAGATTCTTTCTATTACCAGGGGTGTAGTTTGGGAAATTAGGTTCATCTCATTGTAATGGAACCAGAACTATACAAGTTGTCATAGTGTGTTGGGGTGCAGGAAGCATAGTGCAGAATAATGCACATGTCTAACTGTGGGTAAAAGTGTGCACAGACACACACACACTGGGGGAGTGTAGCTTGGTGGTAGAGTGCTTGCATAGCATACCCAAGGCCCTGGGCTGAGTCCCCAGTAATCAAATCAGTCACTAAGGGAAGCAGAAGAAACACTTAATTATCAGTAGCTGTGTCAGTCTGTCATTTGAAACAGATACGATGCAAACTCTGTGAATGTGTAAGAATTTACAAGATTGGGGCTGGCCAAATAGCTTAGCAGATTAAAGCGTCTGCTTAGGCAGGTGCACGGACCGGGACCAGGAGTTTGATCCCCGGGGGCCTTGCTCCCAGAGCGTGCTGAGATGGCAATTGAGACTGGGCATGGTGGCACATGCACCTGTAATCCCAGCACTTGGGAGGCTGTAAACAGGAAGATCACTATGAGTCCAATCTACGTAGACCCTGTCCTAAAATACACGTCTTTTTTTTTTTTTTTTTTTTTTTTTTGAGATACTGGGGATTGAACTCAGGACCTTGCATTTGCCAGGCAAGTGCTTATTCTACTGAGCTATCTCCCCACTAAAATACAAAAAACAAACAAACAAACAAACAAAAAAAGAATTTACAACATAAGTTTACAGTGACTGCCTGCAGTCAGATTTAGAAAAGCATACAAGAGCTGTCTACATCTGCATGCTGGAGATTCAAAGGGTCCAATCAGGCCTGGAGCTCACTGTAGGGCCTCATTCGAGGGTGCACCAGGAAGCCAGAGGTCTGCGCTGGAGGCCAGGAGAAGGCGTCCAAGGTGAAGGTGGACACTGGACTCCTCCTTGCTTCCCTTCTGTTCCATTCAGGTGAAAGCCTGTAGCTGGGTGCCTGACCCCCAGTTGGGTCTTCTGCCTCCAGTCAATCCCTTCAGCCACACCCAGAACCATGCCGATCCAGGTCAGTCGGGCATTTCTTCCTCACGTTTATGCAATCAGTTAATGTCACAGTCCAGCCCTGGTCAACTTGCTTACCAGACACATTTCCTTTAACTGTGCTTGGTCTCCAGGTGCAAAGACACGTTCATAATCACACTTGACATGGCCCAGCTATCGTGCCTACAAGTGAACACGCACTAATTCCTTGCCCAGACAGGAGACAAGTTTTCTTTGGGTGAAGCTTACTCATAATGTTGCATAATTTAACATAACACAGGTTTAATAATACTTAACCAATATTCTATCAACATCATGTTACATAGGAAACACATTAGGAGAGATTATAATTACAATCCTTGCTGCTGTAACTGTTTTTTTGTTTGTTTGTTTTTTGTGGAACTGGGGATTGAACTCAGGCCCTTGCGCTTGCAAGGGAAGTGCTTAATTTACTGAGCCATCTCTCTGACCCTTGCTGTAACTGTTGATCACAGGATTGTAGCTAGTATTTTGAGCTACCCTTCTTCTGCTACCCATTCTGTATTCCCTTAGCCTTCAGCAAGCACCTAGTTTCTTTCCCTGGTGGCAGGCTCTGGCCCATTTGTCATCCCACCTGGATTAAGTTGTACTTTGCCACTGACCTTCATAATAACATGGTAATATTTGGAAGTGCTTTCGGAGATCTCCTACATTCCAAGTATATTCTCCTTTCTTCCACTGTAGCGTAATCGGACAATTTCCCCTTGCTTGTCTGCATCAACCACCCTGCCAACATCAGACTCCTTGTTAAGCTTGTTTAGTCAGAGGTATGGGGAGACCAAAATGACCAGCGGGAAATCTTAGTTTCTAGTTCAGCGAAATCATTCTGCTTCCTGGAATAAGCCTTCCTCATGCTGGAACTAAGACTCCTAGGCAAGCAGAGCCTTAAATCACAGAAGCAGGAAGAAGAGATTTTGCTGTAGCTACATCAGCCTTGATGAGTGGGGGTGCATGTTGCTGAGCCCATGCATGACCTACACCCCTGCCACCACGGCCACTCTGTGCGTGGGCCCATTGGGCAATGACAGGGCAGGCTGAGGAAGGAGGATGGCCACTATCTCCAGCACAGGTCATCCTAGCCACTCCATTGTTACAGTGGCCAGGAGGTCACTTTGTGGTGAGCATTTACATGGAATACAACCATTCTCCATCCCATGCCCATGTGGAGAGGTTGATCCATGCCTCTTCCCCAGACACCTGTGTCACCAATTTTCAGTCAGGTTCCTGACCTTCGGCTACAGCCCGTGCATCCGTAGACAATCCCATAGTCGG